TTGTCTTTGAGACAGTTGGATCATTCGATGCCCCTTTGACTCTAGATCTGCGTAGTAGCGAACTCCGTCGATTTGTTCCATAGCCTTAGCTAGCTGACGAGCACGACGCTGACGTTGTCTCTGACAAGCCCTCTTCATCAGAGTCGGCGAAATTTCATTCAACAACTCCTTAACTGGAGAAGAGTCGTTGTGAGCAGAGGTTCCGACATTGTTAATCACTAGAGCAGCGTTGCGAGGGGAAGCCTCAACAACGATTAGGTGAGAGTCATCACCCGTAGCCTTCATTGACGATTGAAACACCTTCACGGATGAAATCTTCCTGTATTTGTGAGACAAAGAAGATCTTAAGGAGGATGAGGAGATATTCTTCGAATTTTGCTTGGTCGAACTCGTACTAGACCGTAGACTCAACTGGGATCTTGATCGGTTGGTACACGATAGTCTCGACAGTAAGACCATTGGCTCCTACTGTAGTCGCCAACGTGTTTACATCGGGAACAAATTTTATTACAAACGTTTATCTATTACAATGGATACAAAAGAGTAAAATTTGTGCTTTGTAAAACTTATCTTTACAATAAAACAAGATTAAGAGTGCTCCCTATAAACACACGCATAAACTATTTATTAGTCGCTGCTTGCGTGGGATTTTTGCATGTGTCGGGAGAGCGTTAGCCCGTGGACGACCGAATCACAGATCCATATTGTTCCGAAGAAGGCTTAAGGTCAATGTTTTGTTTTAGAAACAAGGACAGAAGTGGATATCTCAACAAGGTAAGATAAAACACTCTTCTTAAGATCAAGTCAAAGCTTAGATCTCGATGAAACGCCACAGGCTCTAGGAAGTACTTAAAATTGATGAAGACTCTTTTTCTCTTGCTTAAAATTCACCAAATTGCTCAAGTCCCTACCTCGTGCATATGGGTGATAGGGAAACATTTAGTCCCTAGAAGCAGTTACTGAATGTAGAAAGTCAAAACAAAGCCCAACTGACATCCTCCATTTCCGAGATACGTTCTGTGTCTCGGAAGGAGTTCAGCCAGTCCGTTTTGTAACTGACTCTACACGTTTAAGTGCCATTATTTCTGCAGTTATGAGCGTACTTTTCATTTGTAACGATCCTCCCACGTTCACACGATCCCCAACAGTTATGAAGCCACGTGGACCGCACAAAATCTAAGAAAACCGTCAACACAAGTGTGAAACTCCCTCATAGTTTCCGAGACAGTTTCTGTGTCTCGGAAACTATGGGTTGTCTTATAGTTTCCGAGACACATTCCCTGTCTCGAAAACTATGAGCAATCTTGTAGTTACCTAGACACTTTCTTAACCTAAAAAATTGCACGCTTCCCCGTCATTTTGTATTTTTGTGCATTCCTTGCATCGGGTGATCCTCTTTGACTCAGATGATGACGTTTATCATCTTCTCTTCATCTCGAGCTGTATGCAGTAATCTATAGGTAATTTTTTACGCCTATAATTAACTTATCTCTTATAAACAAATATATAGCATAAAACAACTAAGATTCTAGATATATAAGCTATATTATAGAGAAGCCAGGCTACAAGAACTTTTTTTAATTAGAATCAAAATACTACAATTTCTAAAATAGACACTCTTGATTCTAATTGTCTTAGGATTTCTTCAAGTCAATCCTAAACAAACTAGAAGTTCTTTCAGCAAAATGAGCTTTTTTAACTAAGTAGCTCAAATGCTCTCAGTTTAATGGTGACCTTCGGAAGTCTTTGTACATCAAATTATCAGTACTAAAATTTTGTCTAGAGTATTAGCTAGCTTACAAAGTGACTCACTTTCCAATTAAGGCAAAAATAATGAAGCCGGCGATAAAAAACCTAAAAATTAAAACATTTAACTAAGATGTACCCCGATAATCAGAGTTTTAATTTGAGTGGAAAATTTAAGGGTTTTTGCATATATATACTTATCAGTTATCAGAATCTTCCACACTGACAGATACTCTCCAAAATTCAAATATTAGCAAGAAACTCATCTCTATCTCTCCACCATCTCCTTCATCCTCCTCTCCTCCCCTCTCCCACTACCTCCCCTTTCTTCCTCGCCAAGATCCTCACCCTCACCTCCTCCTCTCCCTCATTATCCAACCTTCCCTCTTCTCAACCTCTCCCTCCTCAATCTCACTCTCCTCCTCCCCTTCCCTCCTCTCCCATCCTCCCTCTCCCATCAAACATTTACGAAAAGCGGAGGGAGTGGAGGAAGGGGAAGAGAGAAGGAAGAAGAGAAGGAAAGGACGTAAGTGAGGGTAGTGAGGAGAGGTTGAGAAGATGGTAATGTAAGTGAGGAGAGAGAGAGTTGAGTTTTTTTGGTAAATATTTGAATTTAGAGGGAAAATCTGTAAGTGTAGGAGATTTGAGAGGTATATATCCAAAACCCTTAATTTTACTGCTCAAATCAAAATTCCGACAACCGGAGTAGTCCTTATTGGTTACATGTGTCAATTTTTAAGTCTTGTTGTCGCTGGCATTTGTTTTTATACTTTCTTGGAAAATAGGTGTTACTTTATAGGCTAATCTAGTACTTAGCCTTTAAATTTCTAACAAAGAGCATTGCTAAATATAATTATCAATATTCTTTCAATCCTAATCAAACTAGGATATATTCTAACAAGATGAAACTTTAACTATCTTCAATGCTATCAATTTATATTAAACGTGAAAGGATTTTCCATTTCAATATTGTATCGAACTAACATGAAAGGAGATCTAAGGTTTGAAGTACCAAAAGTTGATTTGAAAGTGTTACATTAAGAAGAAGAGGTTTAAAAAACCAGTAAGTAGAAGCTTGTGATTATTAGATGATGAATTGTTCCCAGTGGAAATAATCTTTATTAGAATATAGCAAAGCCATCTAATGTATTGATAGCAAAAAAAACCGAATAAAAACTACGAACATACTAACATTTCAAACATTGCACTTAGGGTATCCACATTAAATCAAATGCTTTAGCGTCATGGCTCATTTCTCGATGTGCCTTTATGGAAAGAATTGGGATTTAAGGAAGAAAATAGTTGACCATGTTTTTCTTCATGAAAATTGAGACATAACAAAAATCACTTGTAAAAGAAATGGTAATAGGATAATCTAGGCCTCCCTTTACAAACCATGGTACTAAATTTGCATAAGTTAAGAAACTTTGCTCCACCAAATGTATAAGTACAATAATGGACAAAGATAATGAGTTAGATATGGGATTAAATCCGAATCTAAATTTATTTATCTAAAAGAGAGGCTGAGATTCTAATTTGCAAAAACCATTTCCTCTTTTTTGTGTCTTTACTAAATCCTAACTCTCCTCTCTATCAAACTCTTGCTAGAGTTAATTCTTGAACCTTCGTTATCTTCTCCCTCTCTTTCGTTCTTATTCCTTTCTTTCTCTCGCTTTCTCTTTCTCCTTCTCTATTCTTCTCTCTTTACTTAGTTTTAATGAGTGTCTTTGTTTCTTCATGGTTTTTCAAATATTTAGCCATTGTTATCGAGGCACGTGCCCCGAGCGCGGGGCGCTACGGGCTGAGGCAGTTGCGCCCCGCACCAGATCTGGGGCGCTGCACGCACACGAGATGCGCGCCTCGCATGCGCCTCGCGTGCGCTTGACACCTGCGTCATGTAATAGACTCTTTCTTTTGTTTTTTTAAATAATTTACATATTACATATTTACATCATGTAATACTCTTTATTGCTAGTTGCTAATCCATTTTCCATCTTTTCATGTTTAACCTATAAAAAGAAAACAATAATTAGTAATTTAGTATACTTGTTTGCTAATTATAACTTTCTTCTCTAATTAGCATGCTATCTAGAAAATTATGAACATGTAATATGTAATTGTTACTTCCATTCTCTATCTTTTCATGCTAACTAGTAAATAGCAATTAAGAATGCTAACTAAAAAATTATGAACAATCATGTTTTTCTAATCACTTAATTGTTATTTAAAAATATATATATCATATTTTAAATAAAAATACATATTTCTTATTTGTTACTTGTTTGTTTTGTTTCATAGACTTTTGTTTATGTTGGAGATTATCTTGCATTGTGATTTGTTAAAACTTATAAACTTCTCTATGTTATGCATGCTAATTAAGACTCTTTCATGATTTAGTCGGTAAAATTATATTTCTTGGTTTTTTTGTGATAATTTATAAACATGTTGCTTATATGCTTCTTTGTCTTATGTTGAAAATATTAGTTTGAGTTGTGCGCCTCAATTCAGTGAGACGCGCGCATCGTTGTGCGCCTTACGCATGGTGCGCGTAAGGGGCCTTTGCGCCCCGCATTGCGCCTTGTGTCTCGATAACAATGTATTTAGCTGCCAAAAAGGACCTAGAACTCCTAGACACTACTTAGGCACCTAAGCGTCTAGTATCATGTCTAGCATCTAACCCTTTCTCAAACATTGGGTATAGTCAGTCACAAAACAAGTGATTAGAAGGTATTTTGAACAGAACAACTTCATAGAAGAATAGAAGTAAGCCCTCTAATAACAATGAGTTTCTCAAAATATTTTTTGGGTGTATAGGATAAAGCTGTTACTGCATCCTCACAAGAACTGCGGTGCACATCCAAGATAAAACTAGTAGTGTTTTGATTGCAAGGATATAATCTAAGAAGTATCAGCAATGTTATGTGGTTATTTGTTATCAAGATAGCATCATTCTCAAGATAAAGCAAGCTCTAAGATCAAGCCAATGACATGAAAGGTTTTTCATGTTAAGTATATAAGAAATTTAAAGATCATTACCCCCATTAATTTAGTAGGTACAATTTTAATGTATTTATAGTACTATAATTTCAATAATTTCAGAGAGCAAATAGCTAATTTACTAGCAGGAGATCTAATTTCCAATATGAGGTTCCATGTAGACAAATATTCTCAATTTTAATTATTCTATTCAATTCCATGCTTTAACTAGGAAAAATAATGAGAATTTCTAAATAACTAGACAGGAAAGGACTCACCTGGATTGGGAAAGAACCTTCGACGGTCATTTGGACATGGCAGGAAAAGTACATTCTGCGGATTGAAAATAGCTCGGCAAACCAAACAAAACCACTCCCGTAAAACACCAGGACCCGTGGCTTCCTCGTTCTTGAACTCCATGAAAAGCCCACCATGCAATGTGTGAGCATCTACCCGTCCAATATACTCGTATGACTCAGCCAACAATTGTGACCTGTCAATGAGCATCTCATGTAGGTGCTCATAATCATCTTTTCCTTCTGGGAACAACATAATCACCAAGCTCCTTCTCGACTCAAAATCAACGACATCCCTATGCTTAAGGAGCCAGCGGAGATTCTCATTCTTCTTTGCACGTCTTATAAGAGCATTCACAGAGGACCTTCGGTTTACAAGAACAGCGTGCAGTAACTCAGGGGCACCCTCATAGATCTTAGAGAAACTATGCACATTTGTCAAGACTACCAGAATATGGGACCACCCAGCCCATCGAGCATCACTCTGGACCGGTCCCTTTCCTGTCAGAAAGCTCTCAACTTTCTTAAGACAGTCATCAACCTTCCCCAAGAGCTCGAGAAATATAAAATGGAGAGAAAAGATCCATCCCTCGTAACTCGGATGAGAACTGTTATACAGTAGTGACTTTGGAATGGGACTTCCACCGTCCATCCACTCCCTCACCGCCCTTCTCATCCCCATTAAGAAGCTGGAGAACTCGTTGAGCTCAATAGGCAAGATGGTCTCGGATGACAGACCCTCAGCAGTGGTTTCTGCCAGCTCCTTCACAAAAGGGAACAGCTCCACCACCAAGTTTTGAATCCTGGAGGAGTACCCACCATCACCACCGCCGCAAAAAGCTCTCGGGGCCTCCAGCAGAGACCCCAGCGTTCTGCGGCACGAAATGTAGAGGCTGTCAGTCTTGCCCTTGGTCTCCGAAATGAGTTTGCAGAACTCGAGAAGGATAGGCCAGCACTGAACATGGACGGGCTTGGGGAGGAAATCAGCCATGGGATTAAGGAAGAGCCTGATGGTCCGCTCCGCGATCATACTATTGCTCGTACGAGGCGGAGGGAGAGGATAGGGCCGCTGCACGACGGGCCGCAGGAGCGCACCCGACGGATGAAGATGTCAAGATAGTCGACGTTGAGTCCAGAATCTCGCCCTTAGGCCCGGTGGGGACGAGGCAAGGAAGTTCGGTGACACCGAGTCGAGGTTAGGGATATCGCGGGAAGGCGGGTGTTGACAGAGCACAGTAACGGAGTTTGACGAGGTCCTGCACCAGGCGCCCAGGCCACGGGGAAGCGAGTGGATTCGGAGCCGGGCGGTGAGGTGGAGCGAAGAGTCGTCTCCACCGAGCACAGAGCGAGAGTGGAGTCCAGCTCAAGCTGCCGGCCGCAGTAGATGATCCGGTTGGTCGGCGGGGCTGATGGGAACGCCGGTGATGTCTCCCAATCTGCTCGATCAAAGACTTCACAGTGGCGGAAGGCGGGCGTGGAGCACCAGCGTTCTCGATCGGTTCGGAGCCGAAGAAATGAAGCGTCGACGGAGACCATGAGGCCGGAGAGCGAGACGAGGGAGGAGGAAGATGGAGCAGAGCAGCAGACGACGACGAGGAATGAAGCCTAGAGGACGAGGAGACGGAGGAGGGGTTGAGATCGGAGGAGAAGGGGGGCTTGTGGAGCGCATAGCTAGAGGGTCGGAGTGAGGGATCGGGGAGGAGAGGGAGACATAATCGTCGAGCTTGCGCTTCGATGGGAGGCGGTGGCTGATACGGGCGATGGCGGTGGAGAAGAGGGGGACATGGCCGGTGGAGGCGGCGATGATGATGGAAGGTTTGATCGGCCCCAAAACCCTAACCCTAGCTAGCTCGGCATGGGGGGTGAATTTGGGAGCTGGGGGAGGAGAGAAATAAGAGAGAGAGAGAGAGAGAGTGGAAAAGGAGATGTACTTGGGGTTTTTAGGAAGGAAACGGAGAATTTGTCTTCTTCCATTTCTGGCGCTTGGTCGTGGCGTGTCGTTGTATGGGCTGCTAAACTTCTGTTGATTTTGATGGGCTTTTGCCTTAACACTTATCAGTGGAGCATTCTAGGCCCATACAGGGGTCAAATATGTGGATTGTTGACAACAAGCAAATACGATCAACCGAATTTCGCTACCAACTCCCCATCGGCCACCGCCTAATTTGATTATGTGTGTGTGTGCTTATTTTGGCGAATTTAAAGTTGTATATCGATCTAATCACGTTCAAATTTCGACACACATGTTGGTTGTTAGGTTGGATGTTCTTGTCTTACACACACATATATATCCTTAATACATTATTAAAGCAAAATAAAAAAGCTAAAAAAACCCACTAGAGAATGCCACATCATCCTTCTCCTCCTCAAAATTTTTTGACACGTGTCGTATCATCTGATTTGTCCATTTAAATTGCTATAATATCTCAAGCTCTAATTTAAACAAATACACACGCGCACACACATGTGTACATATAGTAAAATTATAATAAATTAGCATATCTTTTGCAATATTTTTAGTAACTATTCAAATCACAAATAAAATCAAATCCTCATAATCTCATTTAGGTGCTTCTTTTCAAAATGGAAAAAATTTGGGTTTTGTAGTTTCACGCCGAAAACTTTTTTCCCCGAACTCTGAATTTTTTTTTTTACCTCCGGAAAATACATTAGGTATGTAATCTATTACATCCAGTATTTATTTTATTTACTTTGTGTATTATTTTTTAGGTATTTATTATATTATCAAAAAAAATTCAGATCGTCAGTTATAATTCCTATATAACTTTATCTACAACCCAAGATACTTTTTCTTGGAAAAATATTTTCTAGATATTTATTATGCAACCCTCAATTAGTTGTTTCTAATTTTATATGTTTAATTATTATGTTTTATATCTAATAGTTATTGTTATAATTTTTCTCAAAAAAATTACTACATGCAAAAAAAAAATCTCTAATTTTTTTATCTTCAAACCATGACTCTTTTACTGCTTGGAGCAAAGTAATTCAGGTATTTAATCTACCCTCATCCAATATAATTTTTATGTTAATTTGTGTAATATTTTTTATTTTAATTACTATTGAAAAATATTATTTTTTAGGATCTTACATTTTAATTCCGAGCAAAACTCTTTGATATTTTACCTATAATCCAAGGCACTCTTACTTAGAGAAAGATTATTTAGGTATTTATTCTATAACTCTTAAATAATTATTTTTAATTTAATATGTTTAATACTTTTTACATTTAATTGCTTTATTTTTAATTTATCTCCGATAAACATTACTACAAAAAAATAAATCAACACTTTTTTTTATCTTCAACCCACGGTGCTTTTGTTACTTGGAGAAAATCATTCAAGTATCTAAAATACCTTTATCGTGATTATTTATTTATATTTTAATGAATCTAACTTTTTTAATCTAATAGTAATTTCTAATCATAATTCGATGCATTTTTTATTTGATTTTTTTAACTTGATTTATTGATTATGTTAGAATAAAAGATATTAACTTTTTCTTAAAAATAGAAATTATAAAATATATTGTTATATTAGTTTTAGATTTTATATTTTTTAAATTTTATAAATATGTGAAAGTTTATTACATTCAAAATTATTCATGTATATTAAGAGTTCGTGAATTCAAACATAGGAAAATTTTTGGCATTTTTTAATATGATGACTGAAATTAAATTTTCTTTAAAGATAATTTAATTTCTTAATTTCTAAGCTTTAATTTAGATTTTTCTTTTTTTAAATATTTTTGAAAATATATTTTTATTTTTCTTAAATATTATAGCAGTTAAAACGTTTTTTAAATTAATTGAATTTATTATTTTAATTTTTAGATAGTTGTGAAATTTTATTTTCGTACCAAACAAATTGTTCAAAAATAAAATTAATTTTAGTAAAAAGTGAATTAAATAATACCAAAATTTAAGTAAATTTCAAATTACCAAATCTTAATTTAATTTAACTACCAAATTTAGATCACATTCACAAATTTTCAAATTATCTGAAATTATTTTAATTTCAAAATATTTCTAATATAATACCAAAATTTTATTAAATATTAAATTACCAGATTAATCTTATTAAATACATACCAATTTAAACTACTAAATCTAAATTTAATTTAACTACCTAATCTAGATTATTTTCACAATTTTTTAAATTATTATAATTCAAGATATATCTGAAATAATACCAAAGTTTTAGTAAATTTTAAATTATCAAAATAATGAAAATTTTATTAGTACTTTTTAAATAATACTGAAATTATAATTTTTACACAAATAATTTTTTTTAGGAATTTACAAACTACAATTGCTTTTTTAATATAATTGGTTCCTAATTTCCAAATTTAATTTGGATTTTATTCTATTTTTAGATAGTTTTGAAACTACAATTTAGGTTATTTAAAATATTTTTATAATTTAAATAATCATAAATTTTTAATTTTAATTGAAATAATTTAGTTTCTAAATTTGAAATTTTGGTTAGAGTTTTTATTTTCATTTTTATTTAATTGTGAAATTTTTGTTTTCATTTTTAAAATAATTTTCAAATTAAAATATTCCTCAAAATATTTAGTTACCGAATTTATGTCAACAAATTTTTTTCATGATTTTAATTTTCAAATTTATGTCCAAAACTTTTGAATTAAATAATACCAATATTTTAGTAAATTTAAAATTATTAAAATCTTACTTTAATCTAACTATCTTAATTAGACTATGTTCACAATTTAACAGATTATTTAAATTTTAAAGTTTTTTCTAAAATAATACAAAAATTTTATTAAATTTTAAATTATCAAATTAATCTTGACAAATACAAGTTATTAATTTAACCAATGAAATCTTGCTTTAATTTAACTACCTAAATTAGATCGTGTTCATAATTTTTTAAATTATTTTAAATTATTATAAGTCAAAATATGTCTTAAATAATACTAAATTTTAGTATATTTCAAATTGATAAAATTGTAAAAAAAATTAATTCATATGTTTTAAATAATACTAAATTTTTAATTTTTACCCAAGTATTTTTTACCAAATTTACAAATTTTAATTTTAATTTTTTTCCATTTTTAAATAATTAGAATTTTTGTGGAGTTTTATTTTTAGTTCTTTAAAATATTTATGCAATTATTTTTTTTTATAATAAATTAATTTCTAAATTTATAATTTTAATTGAATGTTTATATTTTGTTTTAAAATCATTGTGAAAATTTATTTTCATGCCAAACAAATTGTGTTTAAAATGTAATTAATTTTATTAAAAAGTGAATTAAATAATAACTGTTGATATCTAAAAGACATTTTGTTGATATCTAAAAGATATTTTGTTGATATCTAAAAGTGTATGTGGACATTACTTTGTTTGTGGACTATTAACTTCATGTCCTTTTGTCTTCCATCATGTATCTATAAATTATACGATGTATGGAAATGAAATAGATGAAGAAAAAGATTACAATTTCTCTTCTTCTCTTGTCTCTTGTCTCTTGTTTCATTTCTTTAGTATATTACAACACGTTATCAGCACGAAATCTCTAGCTAGCTGGTTCGTGATCATCGGTAATAGATTTTTAGGTGTACATCTTCTACAAGGTAATAATACATTCAACCTTTGTCTATTTACATAGTATTAAGCTTTCCGTCGAATGATTATGATTATGTTCAGTATGATATGTAATTCTTTGGTTTGTTTTTTATGTGAATCATGTGATGATGATATATTTGCTGAGTTGTCCTTTTATAAACACACAAGCATGCATGTTGGTCTTATTATGGATACAACTATGAAACGATAGGTATAATTGTTTGCTCTATCAATCTGCCTTCATTTCTTAAATTTTAGGCTTAACAAGGTTTCCTCATGTATGTGTATATACTACTATTTTGGTACAGCATAAAAATCTCGGCAATAAAATAACTGTGAGTACATAAGTAGCGTAACTTGTATGCACATTAAGAAAGAAGATTGTACTTTATGCATATAAACATACAATTCCACTGTCGGTTTCTAAATGCAGGTTAATC